ACATTTGATCTCACTTATATGTGGAATCTTTAAACAAACAAACAAGCCCAAACTCATAGATACAGAGAAGAGATGGGTGGTTGCCAGAAGTGGGGGATGGGTGTTCATGAAATGAATGAAGGTTGTCAAATGGTACAAACTTCCAGTTATAAAATAAACAAGTCCTGGGGATGTAATCTACAGCCTGGTGACTATAGTTATTAATAATCTTTTGTATAGGGACGCCTGGGTGGCTCAGTCGGTTAAACGGCTGCCTTTGGCCCAGGTCATGATCCCAGGGTCCTGGGATCGAGTCCCACATCAGGCTCCTTGCTCAGCAGGGAACCTGCTTCTCCCTCTCTCTCCCTCTGCTTGTGCTCTCTCTGTCAAATAAATAAAACCTTTAAAAAAATAATAATCTTTTGTATATTGAAAGTTGCTAATAGGGTAGATCTTAAAATCCCCATCACAAGAAAAAGAATTGTAACTATGTGTGGTGATAGACGTTAAACTAGACTTACTGTGATCATTATTTCATAATATATACACATATTGAATCATCATGTTGTACACCTGAAACTAATATAATGTTAAATGTGAATTATATCTTAATAAAAAAGCACATGTTTTAAATGCACTAGTGGGACTCATATAGATTTCTAAATATAAATGTAACATGAATAAGTTATTTGATCTTGGCCACACTGGCAATGAGCTTCAGCATCAGTATAAATAGATGGAACAAATGGATAAATGTATAAATGGTCTAGTTCCAGCAATATATATTTCTACTTCTCAGTTTACTTGAATTTGATCAAATACACATTTTACCATATTTTTGTTAATTGGCTCTCCCTTACATTTTTTAAACATAGCTTAAAATTTGTTGAGAGCTTCCTATGTGTGAGGCTTTGTAGCAAGCATTCTATAAGTTTTATTTTATTTAGCCAACAATAATTCTAGGGCATTGAGACATGCATTATGTACATATCCATACTGATTTTGTTATCTGAAACAAACCATATCTCACTTTCCTGATGGGTAGATCATTATAGATTCTTACGGTATTAATTAGATTATTTTCCTACACAGTAACTTGTAGGAAAATTACAAGTTTTTTTTCACAATTTTAAGACAATTGATGTTCTCTCAGATTCATGTCTCATCATCCCATTACCCCCTCCTTCTTCATGCCAGATCTAGTCACCTTGATTAAACTTGCTTCTTGAGGAATCACTGGTGCATACCCTCCAACTGCATGAGAATCCTCCCCACAGCTCCTGATCTCATTTCTTCTTTCCTCCTAGGGGACCTGGAGCATTGTCCAGTCCCCTTTCTCTAGAGATCTCTCCACTCCTGCCTCATCTCTTCATCTTATAAACATTCTTTTGCCCCTTGCACCCTAAAAACAAAACCCCTCTACTGACCCAACATTCCTTTTCTCTCTTTTTTCCTCTCAAAAAGGTAGTCTCAACTTACCATTTTATTTTTCACCTCTACAGCTCAATTTACCGTAAAAAAAAAAAAAAAAGCTTCTCTCTCCATATACTTGAGATGTTGTTAAAGTCACTTATGACCCCTGCTTGCCAAATTCAATGAACATTCATCCTTATTTTGTTTGACCCAGTGGTGGCACTTAATGCCCTAGGCCTTTCCTTCCTTGTTGGAATTCTTTCATTCCATGGTCCCACAACACCTGTTCTACAAATGCACCTTGTACTACCTTCACCATTCCTTTTCAGGGAGGTTTTGTTTTGCTTTGTTTTGTTTTGCATCTCTTCTCACTTCACAAGCAAATGTTGCTCTCCAGAGCTCTGTCCTTGGTCCTGTTCTCACGCTACAAAATTTCCTGGGAAAATGAATCAGTCCCTACAATTTTAAATTACTACTTCTTTTCTTATGATTCCCACATTTAAATATTTAGTCCTAAAGTCTCTACTGAACTCTGAACTTCATATCTCTGATTGTCCTTTTGATAGCTTCCCCACCTACCTGTTACTAAGTCTTTAAAAATCTGTTAATTTTATTCCCTTGCCCCTGTTATGACAAATGGCATGGTTTCAGTGGAAAGAGGTTCCATCAGTTAGTATCCTTATGTGGAGATGACCTGGAGTAAATCCTACCCACCAAAAATGGAATACAGCATGAGTCAGAAATAAACCTCTATATTCTAAGGCAATGAGAGTTTGGAGTTCTTTTTTATTGCCGCATAGCCCAGCCTGACCTGACTGATTCAAGATCCAAAACCAAATTCATTATTTTTTCCCTGAATAAAATAACCTAAAAGCATCTCACCTGCTCTTCCTCCTATATTCCCTGTTTTCTCTGTTTTTGTTTGAGCCATCACCATTTACCTAGTTAACCAGGTTAGAAACCTGGGAGCATATATAGACTCCACTTTCATGTCTCCCCACATTTTATGATTCAGGTAGTAGTATAGATTCTATTTCCTAAGTATCCCTCAAATATGTTCTTTCATTTCCATCCTTACTATACATCTTCTCATCACCTTTTGCCTGAACTATGACAATGATTTTGTAAATGATTTCCTTGCTTCCAGTATCAGCCTTCCCTAAATCTGTCTTCCATATGGCTGCCAGAGAGACTTTTATAAAATGTAAACTTTAGTGGTGCCTGGGTATCTCAGTCAGTTAAGTATCTGTCTTCAGCTCAGGTCATGATCCCAGAGTCCTGGGATCGAACCCCACATCAGGCTCCTTGTTAAATGGGCAGCCTGCTTCTCCCTCTCTCTCTACCTGCTACTCCCCCCCGCTTGTTCTCTCTCTCTTTGTCAAATAAATAAAATCTTTTTAAAACTTTCTAAAAACTTTTTAAAACAGTCTTTTTAAAACTTTGACCATTCCATTCTCCTGCTTTTAAAACATTCTCCTGTTTTTAAAAGTGTTTTTAAAACTTTGACCATTCCATTCTCCTGCTTAAAATATTTCACCAGTGCTTACAGAATAAATCCAAAATGCTTTATCATGGTATATTAGCCTCCTGTTAACCCAATCCCTTCTCTCTCTTCAGCCGCATCTCTACTCAAGCAATCCCTACTCCTTAAAAGCACTGTTCCTTCCTTCTCTTTTCCCTCCTGCACCACACACACAAACTACACTATTTCTTGATCCTTCTAGAAATCCCAATTTAGGTTTCTTTTACTCTAAGAAGGTTTTCCTGGTTGTCCCAAATAGATTTATCAATTCCCTCCCTTGTACCACTTCGCTGGTTAAAATGTGCTTTTGCTATTGAATGTGGCACTTTTAAACACCTTTGCTTATGTGGCTGTTGTGATCACAATGACTGTAACCCTCTTGAGGATGGGGGTGGGGGGTGGGGGATACCTTATTCACCATTACCTCCCGAAAGCACAGTACTTACCACATTACAGACACCTTAAAAGATGTTTATGAAACCGAAATGATGAACATTTCATCAGACAGCTTAACACTTGTTAAGGACTTACATTTTTTAAACATAGCTTAAAATTGTTGAGAGCTTCCTATGTGTGAGGCCTTGTAGCAAGCATTCTATAAGTTTTATTTTATTTAGCCAACAATAATTCTAGGACATTGAGACATGCATTAGGTACCTATCCTTACTGATTTCGTTATCTGAAACAAACCATATCTCACTTTCCTGATGGGTAGATCCTTAAGTATTAATTAGATTATTTTCCTACACAGTAACTGAATGAATAGCTGAGACACTATTACTTGCATTAAAAGCTTTTATCTACAACTGTTAAGTAGCTCAGCTCTATTATTTAAAACATTTGAAAAAAATTATGGCATTTATATATTATCTTTCCTATATATGTTTTCCAAGCATAACGCTTTTTACCAAGTTTAATGGATCTTTGTAATAAGTGAGGGTCAACTTAAATAAGAGAAACAGGGTTACGGAGAGGTTCACAACTGGTCCCATAACTTTTCAAGATTTCATTATCATTCTACACACACCCTGCCTCCACAAAATAATTTCTAATTATCATTGAGTGACAAAATGCCAAGTAGTGACTGAAGTGTATACATGAAATTCAAGACTTCTCTTCAGGGGACACTGGTAAGATGTTGAGGAAAATCACAAAGAGAGGAGAAAATAATATAGAGTTCTATGCCCAAATCACATGACTCCAATCTTCGGTTCTCGTGGCTGTTCAGTCTCGGTTCAGTCTTTTACCATTCACTTTTTTTTTTTTTTAATCTACAAATAATACTAGGCAGAACCCAGTCTGTCAATACATTAACGAAAATTTCCTTTCGTAAGGAGTCTGTTCATTCACCCAGCTTTCATTCTGCCGGAAAGGGGAGTTAAGGCCATTCCTTTTAATTTAGTCCGCATCCCAGCTTTTAGCAGACGGGATGCAGAGCTTGTTGCATTGACCACATTCCAAAAAGCCTCGAGTCAAGCAATTACCAGCCACTTGGCCTTTTTGCAGAAATACACAAAACGTGTAGAATTGCTTAATTTTATCGCCTCCTAGACTCCTCACTTGGAAATTGGCTGCTCGGGCGAATGTTGTTTTTTCCCCCGCAGCCATGTGTCGAAGAGCGATTAACACTCGCTCAACAAAACCCATTCCCGGGCCATTTGGGAGCTGCACGCGTTCGCACCCGGGGTTCAGGCCGTTGCGCCTTCACGCGCAACCTTTTTGTTTATGCGGCTAGCTGGGGAGAGAGGGGCGGAGAGGGAGCGAACCTCTCAGTATGCAGCAGGCAGCCGGGGCTCTCTATATAAAGCTCGGGTCTCGGGTCTGGCGGAGCGAAGAGGCCCGGCTAGCCCGCGAGCTGGCAGCCGCCTTCTGCTCGGCCCCGCCGCGCCATGGAAACCGGGGAGCCCTC